TGTCTCCCCGAGAGTCTATCTGTGATTGTTGCTACATTTACAAAACAAAAGGTTGAACTGGGTCACTTCTTTCATTTCTAAGAGCATGGTTGGCTATCAGAGTGAGGGCTGTTACAGTTTAAGGTGACCAGATGACTCAGTAAAACACTGCAGGTGGATGGGGCTCACTCTGAGTCTCTGGGCCCTGCTTTATACTCCTGCTTAGTGAGAGCACTGTGGTGTGCACACCTGGAATCCTAGCATCTGGGAGATGGGAGAAGGAAGGGGGAGACGGCCAGAAGTCCAGGGTTGCCCAGTGTGGTTGTGGTGGCACACACCTTTAATCCCAGCACTTGGAAGGGAGGCCAAGGCAGGTGGGTCTCTGTGAGTTCAAGGTTAGTCTGGGCTGCATAGTGAGATCCTGTCTCACAAACAAATGAATACATAATTTGGAAGACTTTTTAAAACTACAGCCATTTAGGCCTTATTCCTAACTGCATTAGAATAACTGGGGGGTGGGGTGGGGAAGGGCTGAGATTTGTATTTTTTAAAGGCTCCCCATGAATTTCCATTATCATCCAGGGCTAAGAGACACCACACCATGCCCATGACATGGTCAAAAGCAAGCACGGGAGGCGGGTGTGGATGAACCACAGCTGGGAGATGTGACTTCAGACATGGCAGCATCTTACTTTTGTCTTGCTTCTAAATTTACTTTCTCTTAAGATTCCCAAGAGAATAATCTGCCATCAGTTCCCATCACCCTCAGAACAATCTGCGGTCCATCACCTGATGTACCGGGCCCCTTGCTGTATATCTTCTGCTGCGTCAGCCTCCTTTTTCAGTCAGCGTGATTCAACATAGCAGTCGCACGAGAAGCTTTCTCCAGCTCTAGCCCCTTCATCTCCTGTGCCCCGGCCTGCCCTGACCTCCTAGCCATGTGCTCAGCTAACTTCCCCTCCTTCTTCACCCCAGAGAGCCTTCCCTGATAACCCCCGCTGAGTTGATGTAGGCTGTACCTCCTTTGCATTGTTACCGTCCACTCCACACACGATGATTCACTCGTCATGCAGCAGTTGGCCCATGCGTCCAGCCCCGTGGACTACTAAATTCCACAAAAGCAAGGTCTATGTCTTTTTCAGACACCCACACCCATTACTGGTATAGACGGGCTCAGTGGATAGTGAATGAATAACTGAATGATTACACAAGGATGGAAGAAAGGGAAATTCTTGAGAAACCGACTCAGTACATTACAGAAACCAGATCTTAGAGATGGATGGCTGCAGAAGAAAGCAGTTGTTAAGACAGATTCATACAGGGGCAGGTAAATCAAATTTTAGCCCTTTCATGTTTATATGCACGCTGTGTCTACCACAACTATGCCAGGTTTAAGGGGAGCCCAGTATAGCAGGAAGCCTGGCCAACTTTTCACCCAAAAGAGCCTGGTCGCCGCAGGTTCTGCCCTGAGCAACAAGCAAGAAGACTCAACACCGCTCGTGTGAAAAAGCACAAAAGGAGGACAATATTCAACATAACCTACGTCTGATTCTAGCAGACCTTTTAATGCTAGTAATTAATGAAGTATTCAGATAAAATGATGTGATGTTTTGGGATTTAGTTCAAAGGGGCAGTGAGGCAGGAAGGTGGACCTGAATGAAACAAGATCAGTTAAGACTTCATGGGTTTTGAAACCGGGGTGACGGTGTCTTTCTTCACTTAGATTCATTTTATTATTCTGTCAGTTTTGGTGTGAGGTTGAAATTATCCAGAATAAATTAGTTAGAATAGTTATTAGCCTTTAAAACATCGTGGAAGTCTTTCTCAGCGTTAGTGAAGATATGTTTTTAAAAGGGAGAGAAAAAGGACCTCAGCCCTCTATCATCTGGAGCCGGCTTGGTCTTGGTCAATTGGAAACCAGGAATGTTCTCCAAGGTCTGAACACTGTAATCAGTCCACATAGTTTCCAGGCAGCAGCGTTTACACAGCACCGCCGCGTGATTTGTAACTCATTCATATGTCCGCGAGAAGTATAGTCCTGTGATTAGCCAAACAATACTTCTCCACAGCAATCTACCGCATCTCAGAACCAGCAGGAGACAGCATCTTCCGGCTGTTGGCACCTCCTGCCTTTCTTTTCTGCTCTGTTTTCACAGGCTCCTCCTTTAAGGTGGGCAGAAAGTGGAGCACTGAGATCCTATTTTACTTCTAACATTTGCTGCTCAGATAGGGAAGGGCGCTCACCTCGGTCAGGAACGTGTATCCGCCACCCCAGGGCCTTGACAGTCCTTTCACTTTCTCCCTACTTTCCTGGCTCATTCTCCTCAGCCCATTCTGCCCCAAGCAGCGCAGGATTTCCCACTACCTTCCTCCCCCTGGGAGAATGTCAGTCGGCCTAGTCTTTCCTTGGGGTCATTCCTGCCCAATCTGGTCTTTCCCCGTAGTGAGCCCACTTCTCCCTGGTTCTGCTTGCCTAGTGTCACTCCATACATGGTCATAGGTCTGGATAAAAGGTCCAAGGCCAGGATCAGATGACTTGACCACTGTGGGGTTTCATTAAGGAAGAGAGCATCAGTGCTAGACTGGGGTCTTCCCCTCGGCCCTTGAAGCCCTGGCTGGGATCAGTCCCTCCTGTTTCCCCGTAGAGACTCTGTCCCACTGTTCAGGCCTTGCCTACAGCCCAGCTGCCTGGCTGACTGGAGTTCTTCCTCTTTCTTACTTTTTGTAATTTCTCATGTTCCTCAGACACTTTCTGTTGAATACATATCACATTTTATGTCTTGGTTTTACACCGTAAAAACCATTTCAGCAACACCCCCATTTCAGTGACTAAACCCCCATTTTAGCGACACCCGCATTTCAGCAACACTCCCATTTCAGCAACACCCCCATTTAAACGACAAAAACCCCATTTCAGCAACACCCCCATTTCAGCGATGACACCCCCATTTCAGCAACACCCCCATTTAAACGACAACACCCCCATTTCAGCAACACTACCGTTTCAGCGACGACTCCCCCATTTCAGCAATAACACCCCATTTGAGCGACACCCCCACTTCAGTGACTAAACCCTCATTTCAGCGACAACACCCCCATTTCAGTGACAAAACCCCCATTTCAGCGATACTCCCATTTGAGTGACACCCTTTTCCTAGACTGGAGAATTCACAAGCCAACAATTTCTTAAATCAAGCTTAAGAAATTTATGTTGGCTCCCATGGAATATCGCTATTCCTTTGAACTCAGAATGACTTGTGGGATTTTGCTCATAAACTATGAGGGGGGAAGCTTATTTTAAAAAAGAAATGGACAGTTTTATAAAAAAGAATGTAGATACAAGGGAGGCATCCAGATGACAGCTAGTAAGTGGCCCTTCACATGGCTCTGCACTCTCCTCACACAGGAGCGAGTGGTTCCTTTCTGCCCACTCAGCACATATGCACTAGTGGCTCGTCCTGTGCCCTGCACTGCCACGTATAGGCTCGGGAGTGAGTATCTGAGAGTACTAGAGCATAGGAATTAATTAAAAATAAAATACTTTTCATTTCTGTTTAAGGAAGTGATGAAACCATTGATCCTGGCCCCTAAATTAATCAGTATCAGGGCTTGTATTTCATTATACAGTTCTTGTTTAGCAAATATAGATAAAAACAACTCTCAACAAAAGCTCTCATTGCACAGTGGCTATTTTTTTCATTCTCATGAGGGTAAGGCTGTCCCTTTCCTATCAGCAGCCAAATCCCCCATTGCTACTTAACTCGTTGGGCCAGTTCTTCATATTTTCAAGCTGATTTCTTCATCATTAAGATGAGGATAATGGATTTGTCACCTGTAGAAAGTGCTGAGGCTGGTGGAAGATGCCTGGGAAGCATTTTATTAATACAGCCTGCTTTCTTCCCTGTCAACCATACATTTATCACGCTATTAAGTGAAGAGTAAAGTGTTTCAGTAAGAGGCAAGCAAGCGTCATTCCTCCCCATCCTGCAGCAGGCTGTCCTGGAAGACAACGCACAAGTGACGCAATGGACTTGTCTGTTTGATTGATGTGTCGGTGTGAAAAGAACGAGCAGTAACAGAGAGTGAAGGAACCATGGGGTGATTACAATCTGCGCCCTTAATTATCACGCTCAGTTCATGGAAAGTTCAGCAAAAAACTTAACTGGGCTTGAGAAGTACAGCCCCACGGTAGCCTTCGTGGATCCACCTTTGGGTAGGAGATGAGTTTTAGAATTACCTTTGAAATATTTCTATTGAAACAGAAGTTCACACGTCTGATTTCAGAGAAGGGAAAAATATGATTTGTCATGTTTAAGAGTAGAATACTTGATTTTCTGTGACCTTTGTCACATTTCAACATAGTACTAGACAATGCATTATTTCAAAATAATCTTTAAGCAATAAATAACATTCCAAAACCAAGATGGGCAAGTTATGACAACATTTAAAAAATTGTATTTAAAAAATGGGGCAATACATGCACCTGTACTATTAATGAGACGTCAGATGAGCCTCTGGGGAGGAGTGTACTGCCTGCCACTCCAGTGCCGCTGGCCGGCCCTCACTCGCTCCTAGTATGGACTCTAATGCCGTTTTTTTTAGAAGCCTGGGACTCATCAGTGGGAAAAATGCTGAAACACATTTTTTAGAAACAGAGCCCATTTATAAACAGTAGGATAGGTTTAAAAGGCACACGGGAGAAATGACAACTTCTCAGGTGGCAGAGAGCAGGTAACACTGGGGAAGGCTCCCGTCCCAGTGATCACCACGTCAGGAACGTTTCCTTTACAGGTGGCAGACAGGGAAGACAGGCACGTGTCTGAGCAGACCTCAGACTATCCTGAGTTTTCTCGTCAATAAGGACCAGCACGTCTCAGACCCGTCACTGCTGAGTGGATGATGGGAGCAGTCAGCTGTCCGTGGAAGCTTTTCACAGTGGCACAAGCTGAAGCTGGGAGTCTTCGTGGCCAAACAGTTGATCTAATTGTCCTCACTCTTCCCTCTTTTTTGTTTTATCACAGAATCGGAAGACTGTTTGATGGTACAGAACCCATTGTTTTGGACAGTCTCAAACAGCACTATTTCATCGACAGAGACGGACAGATGTTCAGATATATCTTGAATTTTCTACGAACATCAAAACTCCTCATTCCTGATGATTTCAAGGTGAGGGAATCCATGTTAATAGTAAATTTGTGATTTGTCTTGATGTGCTCCAAAAAAAACACCCCTATTTCTAGTTCTACCCCCTTGTCATGCATAGCAACTCACATGGCACCAGCAGCCCCTTAGCATGGCTACACTGTCTTTGTGGAGCAGAGTGCATGGCATTTACGTAGGATCAGGAAGCATTCACTTTTTATTTAAATAACTGAATACTTCATTTTAGGAAATTGAAAAGAAGTTGGTTAAATTCAAATTTAATTTCTGCTATGTCTTAGCAATCTAGATGTAAAAGGAACTTAACACAAGGAAAATTTGCCTCTCAGAAATTTAAATATGCCTTTAGAATTGTTCCTTCTAAATGGAGTAGCCAGTATTGGCATCAACCACAGTAAAGGCGTCCTGGTAGGCAAAGGAATCTGACCAGAGAGACATAAAAAGTGTTAGTATTAGAAGGGAATGTGTGAAATAAAATTTTTATGACTGGTAATGTTTCTCTAAATAGAAGATTTTTAAAGTTACTAATTCTGAATACTATTAGAACTAATAGAGAACTAACTAAAACCTCTAAATGCAGAACCGATGCCCTCCAATCAATGGAATAACACGTATCACTGATATCTTCTAACAGAAAAAAGCACAACAAAAATTGTAATGTACAGGTAGCAATAGATTTGATGAGAAGTGGGCAGAATGTATTTTAAAAAATGAATTTCTATTTTGAGACAGAAAGGATATATTTAAGACTTTTATACACAAAGGATTTTTTTTAAAGATCCGTATGAAGCAAAGAAGATCATATTCAAATAGAAAATGTCTTAGTGGAAGAAATATTTGCAACAAGAGATTAATATCCATCATAAAAGAGTTCCTCCAGATCTATGAAGGCAGATAAACAATTGAGGAGAAATTTTTAGCTATATACAACATTTTCCCAAAGGGAAAAAAGATATTGTTAGTAAATATTTAAAGTGATATTCATTCTCTCTTTAGTAAAAAAAAAAAAAGGTACAAGACTAAAATGGCATAAACCTTTTTATAAATTAGTTTGAATAAAATTGTAAAGATTTATGGACACAGTGTTGGGGGAATTTACAGTATGGTTGGGAAGGAAAGTGATTAAACCTTTTTTGGAGGATAATTCAGCAATAGCTATTAAAATTTCAGACATTCATGCTGTCTAGCAATTTCATGCTTATGAATTTATCTTCTATAAATATTCACAAGAGCATGCAAACATGTGTGTACGTAGGATGTCTGGTAGTTGTGTTTATAATAGGAAAACATACCTAAAAGGTGTTCAGAAACAGCAGATGGTAGAATATAATATAGAATATACATATAATGAAATAATTTTAAAGAGTGTACTCAGGCATATCTATTGATATATGGGGCCAAAACCAAACTTTTATGATTTGGTGAAAATAACAAGTTATAAAAAGATATGCAATGTGTTTCTATTTGTGTAAAATATCATGCGTGTTATAATATCTGAAATAGCATCTTCCCAATACACAGATGCAGTTCACTTACACTGCAGAGCTGTGGTGTATTAGCCAAGGCTTTAGAGCCTGGGATAGAAAGTGAGATGTACACTCTTGAGAGGGCCAGAACTTGTTGCTGGCCCAGGTCAGCAGGCTCCACAGTCTTCCTCACGTCCATTGCAGAGGTGCAGGGGACTTGCACATCCCAACAGCAGCTCTCACTCGCCTTAGTTTCTTACTAAAGGTGATAGATTTTCATGTAAAACAAACATGCCCTGACGTAACTCCTCTGTACTTGATTGCGTGTGAGAAATAACCCTTGGCACATGCGCAGTGCTTCAAATTCAGGAAAGAGAGGGTGACGGAGAGGCCCCTGAGCCCCTTAGTAATTTGGGATCTGATGGTTTATAGTGGTTCACTAAAACTTGGTCATATGGGTTGGGGAGGTGGCTCGGTGGGAAAAGTTCTTGCTGTACAAGCATGGGGCCTGAGGTCAGATCCTCAGTTTCCATGGAAAAGCCAGGCAGAGAGAGAGGTGGACCATGGGGGCTCAATGGCTAGTGGTCTAGCCACAGTGGTGGGGAATCCCAAGTTCAGTGACAGACCCTGTCTCAAACGCTAACAATTACAATAATGTAGAGATTGATAGAAGGCAAGCATTGCCCTCAGACTTTTGTATATTCACCAACACGTGCACACCCACCCATACATACCCACTCCCATGCCAGCAGGAAATAAATTAACAAATTCCAGTCATATAACCTTCTGAATCTGACCTAAATATGCTGTCCTAGCCTGAGTGGTGCATGGTAATATTCTTACAGACAGAGACACACACTTTTCTAAAGAATATTGTGTACTGTGCCCAAGACAATCGCTTATTTAGCTACAGATGTCATAGGAGACCAGATGTTGAATATCAGTAGACAATGCATTTCTCTTAACTCATCTAGAACTAACCTGACAACAGAAAGCTTGCGTGTATATAATCTCATCATGTATAACTCCTGTTTCTAACAGGGATGCCACTCCAGGGAACCGTAAAATAGTAAAATGGTTATTATTGTTAGAAAACAAATATAGCCATTTGTTTTTAATGGTAGCATATTTCAAGGAAGGAGCTCGGTATTTTAAACATATAGTTTGTCTTACTCAGTCACAACTTTCCTGGGAGACACTGCTCTGTCTCAGGAAACATTCAGATTAGATGCTGATATGGGCACTTCCAGCGGCCATGCTCTGGGGGCTCACCCAGTCAACCAGGACTGGGCCATTTGCCTAACCACACCTGTGGAGTGTCCCTTGAGGATTTCCGAACCCCAAATATCTGCTGTTCATCAACTCTAAGTACAGAACACATCCTTTAGTTGATCGTAGCCCAAGCTTGGGAGGGGAGGGTCTAAAACCAACCAACCAAACAAACAAACAAAAAAACCTTAAAAAAAAAAACTTGGTCAAAAGAAACCCACACATCTGGGGACCTTCAAATGCTTCCTTTGAGGCTTCTGGGAGATAGGCTTACACCACAATGTTCTGGGACTGAGGTGGAGCAGCAGGAAGAAGAAGGGTGGAAGCTGAGATGACCACTTAGCTCTGTGGCCCTTGATGGAATTAAACCACGAAGAGAAGAGAAGTTCGTGGGAACCACACATGCCCATGCGAGCTGTCGGAATGCCAGAATTTTCATTCTGACCCTGACAATGGGACATGGCTTTGTCACATTGCAGGAATTGCTTTGCCGGTTTGCCACGGAGAATGATCTTTGATTGCTTCCTTCTGTCTCCAGCATTTAATGTGGGCAAGCAAGGGTGTGAAGTCCTATAATATTAGTATCCTGTGCCCATCAGCATCCAATTCCACAAATATGTTGTCTGTGCTAAAGCCCACTTAAGAGTTGATAATGTCCTATTTCAAAAGCTTGTGTACTGGTTTCCGTGGAAAGTCAGTTTTCAGTGTATGTGAAGGCAGAACTTCTCTTGAGTATTTTTATGTGGATCTAACTGCCTTTTCTCTCGATTCTGTCCTCAATCATAACGATTTGCTTATTGCTACTTCAGACCCCACGTACAAACGCCAATGCGTGTTCGTAATTCCCAGTACCCCAGAAGTCTGATGCTTTGCTCTTCTCCTCTTCAGGACCCATAAGACTATCTTTCCCTCCTGCTTGTTATTTTTAACACTCTGAAAACAGACCTCCTGTGATCACTCTGTGAATATCCACCAGTCCTAGATCTATACAAACCACTACCAGGCAGGCTTATCAGTCTACACTGTATCTGAAACTCTAATACTTTTCAATATTATAGAAGTGTGCATCTACTGTAGAAAAACTGGAAACATAAAAAAGCAAAAAAAAACATTTATGTACGATCTTTCTACTGCTCAGATTGTCAGGGTTAGAACTTGCCCAGGATTGCTTCTCTGTTGCTGGTATAAACTGAGACCAAAAGCAACTTGGAGCAGAAAGGGTTTGCGTGGCTTAAAGTTACAGTACATCATGGGCAAACCAAGACAGGAAGCCAAGGCAGGAACCTGCACTAGGAACTGAAACAGAGACAGTGGAGGAATGCTGCTTACAGGCTTTTTTCCTCTAGCCTGCTCAGCATACACATCCCCAGAACCATCCACCCAGGAATGTCACTGCCCATAGTAGGGTGGGCCCTCTTGTATTAATTAGCGATTAAGAAAATTTTCCCAGCCCAAAGGTCTGTCTGAGGGAGGCAATCTCCCATGTGAGGCTCCCTATTTCCAGATAGGAAGAGTGGACAGCCGAAGAAAAGGGAGCTATCACAGAACCTTGTGTAGCCTCTGGAGCTTTTCCTGTACTTACTGTTAACAATTTTCTACTTGCCCTTTATACTAAATTTTATTTCATGTAATGCCATAACTATGTCGAAGTTTACTTGGTTGATCTCCAAAGTACCCTGTACAAGTAGTTTTCCTGAGATACTACCTGGCCACATACTGAGTGAGCATTTACAATGTTCTCTAAACTGTAAGTCCGGTTCCTGTTCACTTAGCGATGAGGCTGGGCCAGCTATCCCACAGAACGGCTTGTCATCTAGATTTGCCCATTTGCCATTCACACCATTTAGCTCATCAATCATCTCCCGATGTCGTTTGTCACATCTGAAGACTGTAGGTTCCACATCTTTCCAAGAACACATACCCTGTGGGATTGTGTGCTCCGTATTACGGCACATAATTGTGCCAGCCTAGGATGCTAAGGTTGAACTTTGCCAGATAATGAGGCATATGCCCTTGGGCTGCAGCAGAAATGAGTTCTGTGCAGCCTACTTTTCAGCCTCAGCATGGCCAACATTTGTGGCCAGATGATTCTCTGGGGTTGGGCTGTCCTGTACAATGTAGGACTTTGATCAGTTTCCTGACCTCTCCCCCACCAAAGAGGCAGCAGTGCCCCACCCCTAGTTACAGCTACAAAGAACATCTCTAAGCCTTGCTAAGTGGCCTCAAGCGTTAGAATCAGCCCAGCTGAGAACCAGCAGTCTAGCTTATGGA